ATCTAACCGTAATGCATTGTGTCAGGATCTGAATGCATTGTTTTAAGCCAGCGTTCTAAGCAAGTCGAAAGCACCCAATGACCGGACTGGGGAAACAAAATTGAAACGCGGACTTAATACAGAGGACTAATGACAACAACCAGAAACAGCTGATCACATGGGGATCCCACACGAGGTTAACAAGGGGGCGTGGCACACGGAAGGAGCGGACGATCGGGGCAGGACAGGGGTAATGTTGGGATAAGATCTTTATCGTTTTGGAAGCCATTAAGAAAAAAAATGCTCTTCTTGTTTTATCCTGATCATTTTGTGTTTAAATGCTTAAAAAAAAGCATATTTAGGTGTAATTTTGGGGGGTCGGAACCAATTAATTGGTTTTCCATTATTTCTTAAGGGAAAAATTTGATCAGAACTAGAACTTTTTAGGATTCGATCCGGAGTCCGGAACGGATTAAGTTCAAGAACCGAGGTACCACTGTATATCTGCTGGTTAATGTGAACAGCCTGTTCCTAAAACCAGCAAATCACATGACCGCAGCTGAATATATAGGGCATGCAGACACAGTGGAGAGGTTCACTTCCTGTGTGGTAGGACGTGTGATCTAAGACCTTTTAAACAAGGTGTGATCGTCGCTGTCAGATGTGGTGCCTCCCTACTGGGATTTCCAAACATCCGAGTGTCCAGTTTACAGAAAATGGTGTGATAAATGTCGAGTAACATTTCGGCAGCCAGTGAATGGGCAAACTTCAGACATGTAACAGGAAGAAGGCCTCGCATTCAGCAGTAACACCTGATGTGTGCATGCAGCAGTAACACCTGATGTGTGCATGCAGCAGTAATACCTGATGTGTGCATCCAGCCTTCTCTGAACTTCTCTGAACTCAGAAATCATAAATTAACCTAATAAATTAGCCACTGATTGCTGGCTACACTGATAACTGCCTCATATTCATTACGTTATATAACAATCTGCTATTCATTTCAAGCTCCTGTTAAAAACACGTCTTCAATGAGTATTATTATTCATCTTCTTTTATGTAACTTGCATTGTCTTATTAAACGTGTTTTCTGTTGAATGGTAAAGTGTCCTTGAGTGTATGAAAGATGCTATATAAATAAAACATTATTATTATTATTATTATTATTACTCATAAAACATAAGATGTTTCTCTAGAAAGTTACTGCCCATCCTAACATTGCTTAAAGTGACAGCATGTGAGCTAGGAGCTTTATGGGCCGTGAAGACTGGGCGACAGAGGCAGCCACAGAAGGTGACGTATGACGCCTTAAGATCCTCCGAGTATAGACAAAGTCTTCAGGGCTGAAACATTTGAGTATAATGTAGGAGGAGCGGCTCTGCACAGGAGAATCACGGGAATGCTGGGAGACAGGAAGCCTCATTCTCATGTGTCTGCTGAATGAAACCTGCCCGTCTTGTTTGGTTTAGAAGAGAAAACGTTTAAAAAGAAAAAGAATTCACAGGAAATATCACTGCTTTGACAATGATAGGCATCACACTGGGACTAATGTTTACCATAAAAATAAGCTCAGATGCTATAAATCCACTGTGTTTTGATCTGATCCCATGACTCACGTGGGAATTTCAATGTACAAAGAGAACTGACAAGTCTGGACAAAGGGGGTTACGGGGGTAATAAATAACCACACAGCAGTCCGGTCGATGTCATCTTCCACCTTCAGTATCAAAAACGATGGCAAAAATATAACGATGATGAAACCAGGAAGGTGGAAAAATGGAAATCAAAAGCAGGACGAAAGAAAAATTTCTGAATTCAGCCCTTAGTCCAATGTGGTGGCACATCTGTCAACATGTCTCTAGTTAATTAATTCATCCTGAGCAACTGCCCCATTTGGATGATTTAAATGCTCCTTATCAATAACTGACGATTATGCAAATTTTAATGCGGGTAACCCCCCCCGCCAACCAGGGAAAATTTCCGATGGGCGAAATTTACTGAGGGGAAAATCCCTGCCTGATTGAGATGACTTATGGGAGATTTTTGAGGAGCCTGTGTGTATCACTGGCAGAGGTTACAGAGAGCAGTGAAGGATGTATCACTGGCAGAGGTTACAGAGAGCAGTGAAGGATGTATCACTGGCAGAGGTTACAGAGAGCAGTGAAGGATGTACCTGCAGCGTGTGACAGTGATTAGGACAAGGAGCCACGGGGCAAACAAGCAGCCACACTGACTCCCATATAAAACACCCATCTTATGCCTACTGAAGCATTCCTCTTCTGAGCTGTACATTTCTTCCCCAGAGTCTGTTAAATGGCCAAGTGCAAAAAGTGCGATGTTTCCTTGGAAACAGTTTTTTCAGCAAACAAAAGTCACTCCATGAATCTCAATAAAGTAGAAAACAGTAAATGGCCATAACTGGTGAATCAGACCTTAAATGCTTTTATTTTACTGTACTTAGTTTTCAGTTGTGAACGTGCCTCAACGACAATGTACCCACTTAATCTCAATCACGATAATTTTGTCTCACAAATCCACCATCCATTTAAGGCTGAAAAGCGAGCTTAAATTAGCATTCCCATGAAGATCACAGATTTTTTTGTTACAAAAAGGTATACGTGAGAAACACCACAGAGACACAGGATCATACACCACAAATGTTACTACTTATAAACACTTAACTGAAAACAGTTTTAATCTCGTCTGCTTTCACATAACTGATGCAACAGGGTCATTTTCACTTTTAATACCTGTTCTTAAATGTTTTATATTCTTTTGATTCTTTTGATACCGATACGTATAAAAACGTGCTATACAAATAAAGTTAAACTTTATTTGTTTAAACTTCTGTTTTAGCCATTCTATACAGGGCATTACATGCAACATATCATGTTTATTTGCATTACTGGTAGTTCACAGACACAGGTGGAAAATCAGGCCAGAGCAGATAGATCCACAGTGTTTGGGTGAAACCTATCACACGCTCAGGGACCCTAGTGTCTAATGACAGTAGTTAATGACACAAAGCTTGCTGGTTACCATTCCAAAAAACACATTCATACATTTATTCACCTGTTTGAATGTAAAAGCATCTGTTTAAAAATATATACGTGCATAAATATATCTGAGCATTTGTATGTACGCCTTTATAAAGAATAATAGGAACACTGCATCGAACTGTACAATTACACAGGATTTAACCTTGCAGTCCAGTTGCATAAATCAGACAAAGATGTTTTGCTCATTGACACACAGGAGTAAGTTAGGCAATTTCTGAGAAGTAGGAGGAGGGCAATTAATCTGCTGTCATTGTCAGGATCGGTCAAGTTTTTGTTTATTGTTTTTCCGAGGCGATTAAAAAAACAATAGGCATGTTCAACACAAGTTCCGTCTCATCTCAACAATTCTTGAGATACATTCAGTTTCACTGCTGTTGCTGTAACCTTAAGCAACATATATCTCCCTGCCCCGTTATTTAAACCATTCAAGCTCCTTGACAGGAGGACATTGAGCAAAAGGAAACATGCCCAGTTTATGTTGCCAACTCTGACCTTCTCTACCTTCCCAAACGCTGCTCTTTGAGGGCAGCAAAAACACACTATAAAGCACCACACAGAAGAGATGAGCTGTTTTTCCTACCGATTCTCTGGGCGACTGTCGTCAGTCCCTGTAGCTCTGCATCCAGGTCTCCCTCCTGCATCTTCATCCACAGCTTCACACCTGAGGGGCCGGCTGGCTGGATGAGAGCCGTCCGATCCGGGGCTGAGTGTCTGAGCTCGCTGCTGCCGCTGCGTGTGCGGCACGGAGACCAGACCACACCTCCACACTGGGGCACTCGCAGCAGACACGCATGGCCAAGTGCTGGAGCTCCGCTGGCAGATGAGACAGAGAGAGAGAGAGAGAGAAAGAGAATAAAAGAGTATTCAGTCGTGCTCCAACAAATTTATAGGGTCATCTTCTGGTGCAAATAATTACACACAAACAGAAGAAAAACAGAAGACTGCAGAAGCATCATCTTAAGTTCCCTGTCAGCTATAAGGCATGCTGGCACCATTCTTTAAAATAATATAATATTTCGTCATAGAATATCAAGTCATAATCATCCATTGCCCTTTGACATTCTAAGTGAGCAGTTATAAGATTGAATGGATGGAATAATCTGTCTGTTCTGCTCTTTCCGGGGTGGATCCTGACAAGGGCAAGACAGGCCCAGGAGTGGCAAGATGGGCCCAGGGTGGTAGTTTCTGGTGGCACCATTACCTGGTGGTGAAGCACAGAGCTCTACATAAGCTTTGATGGGCACTGGTACAGCGACATAGCATGGGTGGTCGCACTTGGGGGGGGGGGGGGGGCATCTTGCTTACCTTATGTGTTAACGCATGGATCTGATGCACGCGTAACCTGTGATGCACTGCCCCCCCAAACTCTACCCATGCGACAAAGGGAGCCTGTGGCCAATCCCAGAAACCGTAGGCAGGCAAACTATGGGCAATCCAGAGACAGGGATTACACAGATAAACCATATCACCCACTCCGATGCAGGGATACCAGGTAAACTGCTGCAGCAAAGCAGAAGGTATTTGACAGGACCCATCCACAAGCCGGTCTCCAAGTAGTCAAGCAGATGCAGCGGCAGAATACTTACTGCCAGATTCACTAGTTAAATCTGCCACTTCAGTACTCTCTGCACATTGACTTTTTATGAATAGTAGTCTGAAATAAAGAATTGCACTAATGACTACTGCCTATTACATATTTCTTTGTATACTGTCAGTTTTTTTGTTTCTGGGGTGAGTGAACTAGTAAGCATTGCAATGCACGTGTTACATAATAAATAATAAAACATCTTGAATCTTGTTGATGCAATACTACTACCCAATGAGTCAACCTGTTTCCCATATACATATAAACATTTTTAATTTCTAGGCCTATTATATGAGGATTATCATCAGATGCACACTTGAAGCCCACTTCAAAGTCAAACTGATCGTCATACCAAAAAATATGACGATCACTTAACCGCCTGTTCTGCGATTTATCACGTCAGTCTTTGGTTCGACTATAATGCCACCTGCTGGTTATAAAACAAAATTCTTCATTCTTTTGGGGGGCTGCATTTCCGCAGAAGTAAACTGTTCCGTTTCAGAAATGCTGTTATATAGTGATTTCTTAAACAAATTAACATTTGGTACTAAGAAACCAGAATTCTATCCACGTAAAGTATAAGGCATCCTTCTTCGCTTAATCTGCACGTTCCTCCTTGGAAAGTGAAGGGCGCATGTAAAGTGTCCCTTGGATCTTTCTTTCTAACACACATACAAACCGAAACACTGCACGAGTCCATGCTTAACGCTTGCACGTTTATCTGCTACTCGTTATACGATTTAGTACATTTCACCAGATAAATCACGGTAGCAGTACGTAGTAAAATGATAAAAACGCTACCTGACGTAAGCGCCCGGCTAGCTCAGTCGGTAGAGCATGAGACTCTTAATCTCAGGGTCGTGGGTTCGAGCCCCACGTTGGGCGGCATACAATTTTGGTTTAGCAAACAAAGTAATACAACTAGATTGGAAGCCTTTAGTTGTAAAACACAAATTACACAAATTGTTCTTTCTGCACAATCTACGCTTTTTATTTCCTAAATGCACAAGAAGTATAAAGAATTTGTTTTCGTGCATGTCACAATACGTATATATGTTCATTACCAATGGTTATATACATACAATCTGAAGGCATGAAAAATGAAGCAGAACCTGCACTAAGCGAGCCTAAATAATAGAAAAGAGAACGTATTTGGGTCGCAAATTAATTGCCTGTAATATTAAATATATTGGTATTAGTAAAATAATTTTGTGTGTAAAATGATATAATCTATCAATCTTCTATGACGTTTATTCAGTAACATGACTAGAATTTTTGTATTGTAAATACCACAAAATAGTATTAATACATAAATATATCTATCATATGAGATTTAAATGTAAATGTTTCAATAGTTAACATGATGCAAATTTCACATATTAGATATAAATAATCACATAGACAAGACGCATAACCCTAGCAAAACAATCCATTATAAATAAAGAATGTTTTATTTACAATAAAAAAACAATAAGCAAACAGTGTAATAGCCCGGCTAGCTCAGTCGGTAGAGCATGAGACTCTTAATCTCAGGGTCGTGGGTTCGAGCCCCACGTTGGGCGAGCTACTGTTTTGCAGTAACTAACAGCAAAATCAATAGTTTGACAATTACGCCGAAATTCGTCCGACACAGTGTACTTTAGAAATAGCCAAAACGGCTTGTAGTAAAACAACAAAGATTATCTTAACATTACTATTACAGCTGCTGGTTGTTACATGAATTAGATGAAAAGAGGCAAAGCATGTGGTTCGAATAGTAAAAACAGATATTCTGGGGCGCAACTGGGATTTAAATACAGGTGGTAGCACCCAATAAGGTTGATGTTTACGATCAGAAAAATACACGACGCCCAACGTGGGGCTCGAACCCACGACCCTGAGATTAAGAGTCTCATGCTCTACCGACTGAGCTAGCCGGGCTGCCGTTACAAACACCCTGGAGCTTCAATGATCCAGAATATATTCAGTACAATTAAATATATTCTAACTTAGAAACTACTTCTACTTACCTTATCGCAGTTATATCCATCACATAGGCTTACCAACGAACACTTTTTCGTAAACGCCATGATGTGCATTTGGAGTAGATGTTACACAATTTAATCCAGATGCTTACAAGTCGATATACCGACAGGAATCTATTAAAAGGTTTCTAATCATCCATCACTACCGTTTATAAAATTACTTATTGAATGCTCATCAAAGGAGATTTTTAACTGTACAATCTATAAAAGTTTTCGCCAGTTGTACTTGACTAAAACTTTACATAAAGACAAGTTTTTTATATATTGTTAGTAAACATTCAAGCCATTTGGTTTTCCTGAGATAATTATCCTAACACAAATTACCAGCAAAGCGTTTTGTCAAAAATGTAGTGATTAAGCGGAAGTGTATTTCCTGCATTATTTGAGTAATCAGTAAACACGATCAGCTTCACTTCACCAGCCGAACGGAAAAGCACGGTAACATTTTCAATATTGGCAGTATGGGAGTATCCCTGCAGTACGCATGCGCAGACAGCCCCCATGACGTTAAGAGCATGTGAAGAAAAGCTCACACTTGCCGACTGCTGGATTAAAGGAACGGCGAAGGTGAGGGAAACGGAGGGCGTGTGAAAAGCAAGGAGGAATCCTGCCTTGAAATAGCGAACAACAATCACTTAAAAGAAAGAAAAGGATTTCTGTAAGGGAGCCATATATGACGACATCTAAATACTATGAGCATGCAGTCGCACTGTGCTGTCACTTATTGGGGATTCATAGGTGACACTTACATATGAAATCAGAATAGACAAGTAAGACGCATTAGACTGAAAGAGTAACGTATCTGTCAGTCATGAATGTAAAAGCAGAAATACAAATCAGGTAGTGTTTCTAGCACTAAGCAGGAATCGCTTAGAAGGAAAACGAGTACTGAACAGAAGAGTAATACAAATGGATTTCAGCATGCTTCGGAATTTAATCAGCAGATACGTAAGTACTGTAGTTATGATGCCATTCCTTTGCACAACGCGCATAAAGCAACTTGTTGGTTAGATACGTATTTTTAGATAGTATTTTTGACATATATAATTTGGTTTTTCGCCGCATTTGATGACCATAAAAGATACCACACGCTTATATAGGCTATTTTAAATGCAATATAAATGTATAGTAGGGCTGCTTGCATGTGAAGAGGAAACGATCGGTGGGTTTTCCCAATATGTTCATTAATTAATTTGAAAATCCACGAGTCAGCTGAAAACTTATGTTGACTGTAATACCTCACAGGAAATATTGTCAGATAATTTTAAGGGCCGATAAATGTTTAGCTGTCATAAACAGTTAATGCGTTCATACTATCAAATGTTTTATTTTTTAATTAATTTATTAAACGGATTTGAATATGTTTTTCCCATTGATCTTCGTCCGCTGTTGCCATTCCATTTGTTACGTGTTTACTGACAAAAATTGCAGATTACCATGGCCGTAGTTCATTTAATTTATGGCGCGTTACACAATCATGTAAGATATAATGTGTTTCAGTTGATATAACTAATCATAAATCGGTAACGTAAAAAAATAAATCCATTATTACTTTCGCAGAGGAATGCTTAGCGAACACCTCCCGATATCATATACTGAAAGGGCATCGATCGAATCCGCTTTAATATCAGGGTCACCTACAGTATGTGCAACAGCGGCATGAACATTTTGCGCTTCTTTATTTATAAAATGTCTTATTTGTAGGAAAGATACGTCCTACAAAAGCCGGGCACCATGCTGTTTGGGAAAATATATAGGATAGATTAATTAGTAAATAACGAATCTCGAAAGAGTCTTGCACAGTCAAGTTAAAACTATACTTAAGAGCAAATCTACACAGTTATATTCAAAGTACAACAGGCAGATCAAATGTATTGCTAAAAAAAGTTTTCTTTTATATATCCTGCATCACATTTGTGAAGTGAAAGATTTAATTGGCTTATCCACTTTATTATTTAATACATCACAAGTGTTCAATTCTTTGGTGAAGAGAAAAAAAGAAACATTCTTAGTGGAATGTGTTTAACTAAAATCAATGATTGAATAACTAAAATCAAATGAATAACTGTATAGCCTACAGTGGCGATGTGTCAATCAATTTAAACAGGCACGTGCCAACCATATTTTATAAAAATGTTAAGTGTAGCCTAAATTAATTATTCAGTCAACCAATAACGTTCCTATACTGACTGAATAACACTTGCAGTCAGGGTGATCTGGGCAATGAGCGAGCTTCCTCCATCATATTGCGTCTCTTAATCCCCTCCCCCATCACTCATCATTCCCGTTTCCTACCGATAGCTCTACGTATCGTCAGTGACTTGTCACGTTGTGGCACTAATGACTTACATTTACTTACAGTAAGCAACGTTAGCTAGCTGTGTAGAATTGCTAACCAAGTAAACGTGCTACTGCAAATACAAGAAGGCAAGTGAATTGTTTCTGAGTTGTTGTCCCAGAGATATACGCTGCATTAGCATAAAACTGTCAAAATGTATCATGCACATGTCTGTTTGGTAGCTATGTAATCAATGGCCCGGTACTGGGTGCGTTTCTCAAAAGCAAATAGTTGCCAACTACGGTCCCCCCCTCCACGATGCGAAATAAAAAATCGCGTAAAATGTTTTGTTCTTCCTGGCGAGCGAAGAGAAGCGTTTTCAGATTTTAGCTGTTTAGGGCACAAAAAGTACGAGAAACGCCAGGGAAAAGGATCACTGCAAGGTATCACGTGAGAGGCTGCAGTAAACACGCTTGGAGTCCAGATCAGCACTGCACATATACTTCTGCATTGATGACATAGTAAACATTTTGTGGTGGAAAAGTACTCAGTTTTCGTAGTTAAATAAAAGTACAAATACCATCCCAAAAAGTTACTCAAGTAAAAGTAAAAGTCCTGAAAAATACCTGGTGTTAAAAGTATTTAAAAGCAATATACAGAGAGACAGTAATGTTGAGCTGCGGGCAGGAGCCTCCTATGTGGCCGGTGAGATGGATGCCAGATCAGGAATCTCTGGGCTCCTGGTGAGATGGTTGCCAGATCAGGAATCTCTGGGCTCCTGGAAGCCTGACTTCACTCTGACTTGATGTGTGGTGATGCTTGCTGACAGGGTGATGAGGAGGCAGAGAGATCTGAGAGGAACGAAGGTGAGGGGAAGGGAGAAGCCCACCGCAAACCTGGCAGTGTTAATATAACACTGGGAGAGGTCATTTGACGACAAATATTAGTTCTTAAAGCGAAAGTACCATTTTCTGTGTGTACTGAACTGTCTGACCCCTTCCTCTTGGAGGAGTCTTTTGTAAACTTGGTGGGATTAGCAAACAGAGAAGGTTGTTATAAAGGTTTATGTCCCCCCCCCATCACACAGACTATGCAGCACGTTTAAACGGCATGAACAAAGACACTGGAACACATCACACCTACATGTGTTTACAGGAACATTTCAGTGTCCTACAGCTCATAGGTACTCATTATGACGGCCTGCAGTGGCACTAGAGATGTATGAAAGGGGGTCTGTTGCAAACAACTACAACACACTTTAAAGTAATTACTGTACATTTATTTTGGAAGCCTAATCCCCCCCCCCCCCCTTCCACCCCGAAATAGCCTTGGTGATGGGAAATAGACTACATGTATTTTTTTCCTCTGAAGAAGAAAACTTTATACACACAGCTTGAAACAGGGCCACATCTACCTTCTCAGGGGCCCAGCCTGTACTTGGGAGGCCCCTACCAAACAAGCTGAGGATCATTTTACTTCCTCCGCCACACTGGAAATTCGGAGGCCCTAGTCAACTGCCTATTTGCCTATAGCTATGGCTGGCCATGTTTTTGCCTGTACAAAATCACAAATTTATATGTTTTTTTGCTACTGTTTTTACATTTGTGTAATGATTCTTATTTTAAAATTGTATATATGAATATGTGATATACATATTTTTTCCTCCTTTCTCTGGGCCCCCTGTGCTGACTGGGCCCTAGACAGCTGCCTGCTTAGTGTAGGCCTGGATTTGGGCCTGATTTTAATGTGGTTTTTCAGATGAAGCCAGACACACCCACGAACATTACCTCTAAATGTGCACATTCACTGCAGATAATAATGTGATAAAACACAGCAGACTTTAATGATACAGGCCATTGATTTTGGCTTCGCCTCTTCGATTTGGCTCAGCCGACCTGCGTCCCTCTCCCCGTCTTTCACTTCACGGCGGCTCATTTAGACATATTTAGAGACGAGTCGTCTCTTTCCAAGAGGCCAAATTTAATCAAACTGTCATCAACAGTGTTTCCCATCAAAGCTCTCGCTCTCTGATTCCTGATTCATTAGCCAAATTAGGCTTCATTGTGATATTATGAAACGTAATTACTAGTCCAAATGACAGTTCCTTTTGATTCCATCAAATCATTGCTGTTCTCATCATTTGAAAACATGAGCTTGATATTCTTTAGTCAGACTGATTTGGAATTAAGATATGTGACAAATTTGTGATGAGTGGGGAGTCAGACCTTTATAACAGGATATTCTGTAGCAAACCCATAAGTAAACGGTATCGCTACACAAAAATATTATCTTTGCAGCTCAATGCGCCTCACAGAATACAATGCAAAAAAATCAATTCTGCTCTGGACTGAGGCTGTCATAATTAATTATATTAGAAAACCAACAGATTGTTTTCTGATTTTTTTTTAATAACGCAGGTAATGAATATGCAGTGTGATATTTAGTAACCCATATATCAAAGGGCATCTCCATTGTTGTTAGTCCTGTAGGTCCAACATGTTTTCTGTCCCACTGATGCCATTGGCTCTCGCTACTGTTTGGGTGTGTGAGAGATTTCCCAGCCTGTGAGAACCGTGGAGAAGAATCAGTGTCAGACAGAGGCATACCCCTCCATTGTATGTCAACAAACACGTGTGCAAGCAACGGCAGTGCTGTGTTTCAGAGTGTGGTCACCATGGCAACAGGCAGGAACACATGCCTTTATTCATTTGCACTTCACCGCAGACCATATGTGAGGGAGTCTAACAAGCCACATGCTGTCAAATACTGCACAGCAGAAGGGAGATCGCAATCAGAAACGTAATCAATGATTATTTATTAATGATGATCATCAGTACACGGTAGTACCTGTGATCGTTTGCAGTGTTTTTATTAAAGGATTATTAAAAATGTGGAAATGCTGTACAGTCTCGGGGATTTTTATGGGTCAGAAGAAGATGATGAACAACATGGACTTTTTCTGTTGGGAATGTGACAGAAGTAAAATGGGGTGCTGGGACGGGCCCTGGGACGATAATAGTCACACAAAATCTGCATTATTAATTGGCTCAAGCATTCATTATTAATTGTTATAATCGTTAGCCAGCAGATTCCAGTGGGGCCCCCGGAGTTCTGGAGCTGCTGTGCTGTAATATCAGTGACGCTCAGAGTCCAGCTGGGGCTGTGTTTACAGCTGGAGGCCGCTTGGGCCGCACCGTGCAGAACTCCCACCGTGTCCTGGTACCGGCCCTGTGCGCGGGCCCTTTTGTTCCTGGGGTCGCGGGTCGCTGGGGGATTCGCTCCATTGGGGTGGTGCTTTAGGACGGCAGGGTCAGTGGTGTAACAGTTACCTGCTCATCAGGCTGATTGTGACGCCGGTGTTGGTAACCTGACCCTCGGTGTCCGAGGCTCCACAGGAGAAGACAGCTTCCATGCTCAGTGCCGTCTGCTCGCTGCAAACTCCTCTCACTTCATTCACGATGTTTGGTCGTTTAATGGCAAATACACCCCTGACCGCCAGATCCAGGTCTCCCATTATTATCTACCCTTATAAATTGATCCCAGGGAAGACAGTCGTGTTTATTTTATTCTGAGTAACAGAGCCTTGCCTGGAAAGCACAGACGGTAGCAGATGTCTAACAGGGCAAAGCTGCATTTGTTTGGATGGGTGACAAGGTTGTGGAATAGTGTG